CTGCAGCATCTCCAGCCACTGGGTCTGCTCGAACTCGGACTCAGCGGCTAGCACGATGTTCCCCTGCCAGGAGGGGAGACACGGGGCTGCCTGAGAGCTGGGTTCTTCGGAGGCGATGGGGAGGGAGGGGCGCCCGCAGCTCTGGCAGCCCCCCTCCCCACCGCCCTCCCGCTCCAGGGAAACAGGAAGCCAGGCTGAAGCCACAAGCGCAGCACTCACGTGGAAATCCTGATGGGAGATCTTCATGGCGTAGGGCATGCTGGGCTCCTCCTTGGCCTCCACCAGGCAGCCCCCCAGAGGGATGACACCCTGAGGAAGAACCGGAAGCAGCAGCCCCGGCCCCGCCCAGCCCAGGTCACTCAGGGCCCCCTAGGGACGGCAGGCCGGAAGCCAGGTCCTGGGCCACTGGGCAGACCAGTGACTCCCAGGGGGAGGGGAGGCATGGAAGGGTGGGGGCCCAACCCAGGAGGGGCGCAGGGGGTTCTCACTCATCCAGGAGAATCTGCTGCCCAAACTCTGCCAGGCACAACCTCTACTGGGCCCTAACCTGCCCAAGCTACACCCGCTTGGCCCACTGGGCCCACTGGGTCTCAGGAGGCTGCCTCACCTTAGGGTGGATGTTGAAGTACTTATTGGTTTCAAAGCTCTTTTTCTCACTCTCTGAGTAGTACAGCAGAAAGCTTTCTTTGATGATGAAAAACCTATGGGGGGGTGGAGGGGGGCAAGCAGGAGAGAAGGGGTGAGGTTTCTCAGGGAGGGGCTGAACTCATAGGGAGCCCCTGGGAGGCAGTTCAGACTCACTCATCCGCATGGCCCCAGGCTCCACATCTGGGCAGAGACCACAGACCAGGCAGTGGAGGCAGGGAGGCCCCAGCTGGCTGGGCCCGGCTGCTCCTACCACGGTCTCCTAAGTGTCCCTCCCTCACCACCCATACCTGTATATCTGCCTCCCACGAGCACATCAGCCCCTGAGACATCGCCTCCAGTGTCTTGGGGTGGGGCCCAGCATGCAGGGAGGGGAGAGAGACCACTCAAGCTTCCGAGTAATCGTGGCGGCCAATCACCAGAGGGACATGGGCTAACAGGGAGGCGTGGAGAGACACTGCACGGTGACCCCTGCATCCCTTGTGGCTGAGGTAGCTCCGTGGCCATCTATTGGGACTCGGGTCTGACTTTGATTTCTGTGGCCAGGTGCTTTGTGCCTGCTGGGAAGCCAACATCCCTGATGCCAATCCATGAGACATCAGGCCCACCCGTGAACTCTCTAGGACTAATGAGTGGGGCTGACTGTGACAAGACACTCAGTGTCCTTCAGGGACACTCAAAGTGGCCGGCCTCTTCCCACAAGGCTCCTGCTAATGTAGTAATGGGATTGGAGCAGAACTTGATGGAGGTTCTGAAAGTTTCTGGGGCGTGTGTGTGCTGTTAGAGGTGAGCACAGCGTGTGTGCTCAGTGGCCAACAGTGTGACTCTCTTCCCCACCCTGCCTCCAGGGACATCACCTTGGCATCCATACCGTCCCTGGGTGTAAATACACCATACCCAACCAAACTCACTGCTATGGCATCCATGCTGACTTGGCAAAACCCTGTGGGACAGGGCAGAGCTGCCCCTGTGGGTTTGCGAGCTGGTAAATCTTTATGGGAGTAGAAAGCCTCATCCTTTTCCCGCAGAGCGGTTGGTGGTTTCGAACTGCTGCCCTTGTGGTTAGCATGCGAAGGTGATCAAATGCTACACACAGCGCTTCTCCGGTACACTGCTGGCTGAAAGCACCCTCTGGTGAGTGAGGGCCTTGGAAAGTCACAGCTGCTTGGTAGCTCCAGAGGTCATCGCAGCTTGGGGACCATGGGAAAGTGGACAGCTGGCAGGGAGGTGAAGCTCAGATTTGCCCTGCCATTTGACCTTTCTGCCAGCTCGTTTTCTTGATTTCCACTGACCCACTGCCCAGCCAGATAGTGGGTGCAGCCCCAAGGCCAACTCTACCCGAGGCCCACCTGCCCCTAGAGGGAAGAGCAGACGACAGCCCCCACTCCAAAACCGGAGCCCAGCCCACCTTCTCAGCTTCCCCACAGGCCTGCCTGTTGGCGTCTTGGCTCCAGAAAGACCTCCTGCCTGCCACTGCGCTGTGGGCACAGATGATGCCCTCCCTGTCCGAGTCATCTGGCTGAGTGCCAGCATGGTCCCTGCTGGTGTCTGAATGCCTCTCACTTGGCTGTGAACTTGACACTGATCTCTCATTGCCAACCCCGGGTGCTTGTCTTGTCCCGAGGGGGTGCTAGGCCCCTGGAGGGTGAGGGGCATGCCCCTCAGGTCTGTGGGTCTCCACATATTCCAGACGGGCTTTGGAAGGTCATAAGGGCATGCACGTTTCTGTGAGAGGTGCTGGGCCTTCCCTTCAGCTCTCTGATCCCGGATAGTGGGGATAGTAGCACCTCCTTTACCGGTTGCTGTGAGATCAAATGAGATGGTGAGGGAGAGTCCCAGACCTGGCTGAGCCATCTGTACTCCCAAGTCTGAGTCTACACCAACTGCAGCATCAGCTGGATCCAAGGCACAGGGCAGCTCCCCAACCCCCTCCGAGGGCTTCGTCCTGCTGTTCCAGAGCCCCTCCCCAGTGGGGAGGACAGAGCTCTGGGCCAGGGCATTGGGCAGGAGGTGTGCAGTCAGATGCATGGGCCAGGAGGGGGTTAGTTTCTGGAACAATCCCCTTCTCTCGCAGCTCCAACCTCAGCCAAGCCAGTCTGGTTGAGCGGCCCTTTGCTACCTCTGTAAAACAGGGGTGCACAGCTCTCTCTTGGGGCTGCGGAGATGCACCATTTGTCCATCCAACAAATCCCAACTGAGCGTCTACTCTGCTGGCACTGTTCTAGGTGCTGGGGACACAGCTGTGGGTAAAGAGACGCAGACCCTGCTCCGTCGAGCTGACGCTTCAGAGTGTGCATGGCGGCAGGTGCGATTCCCATTCACAAGGGCCCCAGTTGGACACTATGGGACTGCCCCGGGGAGTGTCAGGTGTGACCTGTCAGAAGCCGATCATCAGGTCTGCGTTACTGGTGTGCCTGGGTGGGTTTGAACTGACAACCTTTCAGTCCATAGCCTGGTGTTGAACTGTTTGTGCCACCCAGGGCCTCTGGTGTGGTGGGAAGGTGGACAGTAGATTGATAAGAGAAGTACATGCAGGGGTCAAGGTTACAGAGAAAACACCGTAGGCTAAAGAAGAGCCCTGGGGGCATAGTGGGTTACGCGTTGGGCTATGAACTTTGAGGTCAGCGGTTCAAACCCCCAAGCTACTCTGAGGGAGTCAGAAGAGGCTTTCTATCCCCATCAAGAGGTGCAGTCATGGAAACCCCCGGGGGCAGTTCTACTGTGTCCTGTAAGTTTGCTGTGAGCCCAAATCGACTCCGAGGCAGTGGATTTTGCTTTGGTAAGAAATAAAGTTAGGCAAACACAAATGGGAAGCTATTGTTATGAGAGCACTGTTATAAAAAAAATTCAAGGAAAGGTCTTCATACCAAAAGATTGTGATGGTTATGGGGAGGGAGGAGAGAGGGGAGGGAGGAGAGAGGAAGCAACAAGCTCAGGGTGGTTGTTGTTAGGTGCCGCTGCGTTGGTCCCAGCCCATAGCGACCCTGCGTACAACACTGCCTGTCCTGCTGGACGGTGGACAGGTGTGTTACCTTGGGAGAGTGGTGGGGACACTGTCCTACAAGAGAGAGATGGGAAGAAGGGGCAGGAAGAAACAGGGCCAGCCATGGGGGTGGGGGGTTGATAAGTTGATTGAGTGGTGGGATGCAAAAACCGTGTGATATGTTGCTTACATGCCAACAAAACTGTTTAAGAAGAGCAATCTGCCACGTAACCCCACCTAATTCACAAGTAAATGTTTGAAAAACAAACAAAACACAGCTGGCGGAGGGGTGCTTGGGTGTGACAGGGGATGGGAGGCTCCAGTTTCGGGGATTAAACAGGGCAGTCAGGGAGGCCTGCGTTCAGGAGAGGGGGGGTGCCAGGTGTGGGCACTGCAGCTACAAAGGTGGACCGTGGGCCTGCAGATGGAAGGAGCCGCTGCGGAGGAGCTGGTGGGGCGGTGGCACGGTGAGTCCGGCAGGGCTAGTGGGCAAACGGTGCCTGAGCACCGCCACGGACGCCGCTTGGTCCTCAGCAGCTGCCTGTGACAGTGAGAGCGTGTGACCACTCACAGTCACCCGAGCAGGTGGGAGCTTCCACATGCAGACAGAGGCTCGTTGCTGCCGGTGGCTCTTCTCCAGGATTCCGGGTGGGAGTGACAGCGGACCTATCGTCCCTGCTGTGTTGAGACATCGCCCCGAGAAGGGACAGAGGGGGCGGGTGAAGGCGTGTGAGGGCCTCAGCCGAGCGGCGCATAACCCGGCAGCTGTGTGACTGTGGAGTGGGCCCGCCTCTTGGCAGGGCCACATGTGCAGCGTACAACTGCTTGGGGTGGCTTTCTGGGCGGCTGTCTCTATGGAAACAGCTCGCCAGGCCTTTCTTTCGTGATTCTGCTGCTGTGGCTTCAAACAGCCAGGCATAAACTATTGGTGCCACCCAGGGGTCTCCTTCTTCTCCTCCTGCTGCCTGAAAGAGGGCGCAGAGAAGGGCAGGGGAAGACGGATGGGTGCTCCCTGCTGGCCAGACTTCAGCTGACAGAGGGCTGCAGGGGTTAGGAAGGGCCTACGGACCATATAGGCCAAGCCCACCCTGTTCCAGCTGTTCTCAGCTTGGCCGGAGATGGGTGGAGGAGGCGAGGGGAGCCTGCTCCCTGGCTGGCAGGGATCCATCCTGCCCAACAAAGGGCCCGTGGCAAGCACCCTCCTGGGACCCAGACACCAGCTGTGCTTCTAAGCCTGTCTCTCTCAGGGACAGCTGGCTGCTGCTGCTGCTGCTGCTG